TTAAACAAACATTTAAATTTTGTAAACAAATAAATTTTTATTTAATCCCTTTTTAAAGGGCTTAATCGATAAGAAAGTTTACCCAAAAAAATTTAACGAAAAGTAGAAAGGGGGGATCAACGGGAATATCTTGAAAACGCTTTGGAAACTTTTTAAATTTAATGCATTTATTCCTCAATTTTAAATTATTTAAAATTTCCCCAGAATTCCGGAAAATTTTTTGAACGGGCCCTTAAATTTGACCTTTTCATAACTAGCTTAAGTAAAAAAATTTGTTTTAATCTTTTTTTTTCACTTTTCTTAACAAACCCCAAAGATCCCCTAAAGTTAAAAGGGATTTAAAATTTTGATCTCATTGGAGTTGCAACCCTAAAACTTAAAAATTGACAATTTTTCGGGTTAAATTTATGTTTTTTTTCTTGGGGAATTTCCCTTTTTTGAAGGATGTTTTTCACTTTCCAAACCACCCACAGTTTTTTTAAATTTTAAAATCAATTTAAACATCATCGCACATAACAAAAAAGGGGTTAATCGGACGGGGGTTAAAATTTTTGTTCTTTTTCCACGAAAAGCAGGGTTAGAGAGGAACTTTTTTAATTTGCGAAAAATTTAAAAATTTCTAAAACTGAACGTTTTTTAACGCATTCGTTTAGATCCAATTTAAAGCTCAAAATTTATACAATTTAAAATACAATTTTTTTTGGGTTTTCTTGCAAACTCATAACAAATTTCCCTAAATCATTTTTTAAAATTTAAAAGAAATATTTTTCAATTTTTTATTTTTTTTTAAGTCGATCCCCAAATTTAAAAGGGAAAATTCAACATTTTATCTTTAAACCTTAAAGGTCTTTAAGTGGTTAAAAAGAAATCCAAAAGTAAATATCAACACTTTAACCCTTTTTCCGAATGCGTCCTGGGAAACTACTGGCATATTCTTTGTTCACCATATTTATTTGCTCGTTTAACTTTTATAATTTTGTGTCAAATAAAATTTTTTTTTCCCCCCCGGGGATACCTTTTTGGCATGTTTTTATCAGTGTTTAAAAATTTTCGTAAAATACCCAGAAAAATTTTTGTCATTCCCATCATTAGAAAACAAAAATATTTTTCCTTACCCAAATTCGCTTTTTTTCATTTTGGCAACATCCGAGTGAAAACGTACTTAAATTAGAATTTTAACTAAAAGGGGAGTTTTATTTTGAAAATAAAAGGACTTTCAAAAAATAACCCCCCTTGCGCAAACTAGGGCTTTTGCAATTTTTTAAACGTTTTTGGGAAACGGAAGTTAATAGATTTAAAAAAAAGAAATTAATTCTTTTTAACCCGAAAAAGGTTTGGGATATAAAAAATTTTTACAAAAAATAATTCAAAAGGAAGTTTTTTTTCCTTTTTCCCTTAAATTTTTTTCCCTTTGCTGTCTTTCCCATAAATGAGAAAAAAAAGGGGAAATAAAAAACCCATTTTTCCCTTTAAAATTTTTAGTTTTAAAAGGGCCATTTTTGGAGACGCAAACAAAATTAAAATTTAACCCTTTCCCCAGAATTTTTTGGGAAAAAAAGGGCCAAATTTTCCCCCTTAAAACCTCCTTTACAAGGGGTTAAAAACTGAATGAAACTATGAAAAATGTTTTAAATCAAATTTCAAAGTCACAAATTGACGGACCATTGCCTTGCCCACGGCTGGGTTTAAAATTTCCCCCTTTCCCCATGGCAAGGGGGGGACATTAAATTTTGCCCAATTCTTTTTTCCCTTTTTTTTCCATCAAAATTTTTTTTTAAAGGCTGCAATTTTTTAAAGGGGATTGAAAAAAAAAAGAAGAGTTCCAAAAAAGGGGGAAAAAAAAAATTTCGGGTTTGGGTTTACACTTTACCTTAGCGACTGGCCCTTTTTTAACCCTCTACAAGTAAAAATTTTTTTGGGGGGGAGAGGGGGCTCCCCCCCTTAAAAAACCCCCCCAAAAGAAGGGGGAAACCCCCTTTTGGAACCCCCGGGTTTTTAAAATTTTTTTGGTTTGGGGGACGGCGCCGAAAAAGGCCCATTTTTTAAAAAAATTTCTAAAACCAAAAGACAGTGGGGCCAAATACGGTTTTTTTCACTTTTTGGGGCCCTTTTAAAAAAGGGGGGGGGCAAAAAGCCTTTTCGAAAAACCTTAAATGGGGGAAAAGGTTAAAAAAAAAAAATGAAAAAAACCAAAATCACCCAAAACATTTTTTTCCTTTGTTAACATGTGGTCTTTTCCCTAATTTTGGGAAAAATGTTTTTTTGTAAAAATTTTATATTTTTTTTAAAACCCTTTTCCCCCAAGGGCATAATTTTTAAAAAGGGGCTTTTCACTGAAAAACCCTTTAAAAGTAAACTCCCCCTGAAAAACAGAAAAAATGTTTCAATAAATCAAAATTCCCAAAATTTGCTGGAGGGGACCCCTTTCCACTTTCCACTTAAATTTTCGGGCCCCCAAATTGGGCAACGGGGAAAACCCCAAAAATTCCCAAAATCACTTTTTGCCCGAGTTTCCTAAAAAGTATTTAAAAGGGCCCAATTCCAAAGTTTGGAATTAAAGGGCTTTTCGCGTTGGTTACACTTTACCAGATCGCCCGGGCCCATTTTAAGCCCCCCCCAAGCCCCAATTCCCCTTGGGGGATGAAAGGGGACTTCCGCCCCCTTCAAACCCCCCAAACAGGAAGGGGGCAACATCCCCCTTCTGGCAACCCCTGAGTGTAATATTTGGATGGGGGACGGGCGGCCGGAAAAAATGGTCACTTTTTTTTAAAGACAATCATTTCTCAAACAAAAGACAGTGTTTGGGGGCCTATATATCTAGGGCATTTTTTCACGGGTTTGAGGCCTCAAAAAGGGGGGGGGGGGGCAAAAAAGCCCGTCGAAAACACCTTATATAAAAGGAGAAAAAGGTTTCAAAAATGATGAAAAACCTTGGAATCACCCAAAATTCTAGTTTTTCCATGTTAACATGTGGTCTTTTACCCTAATTTTGGTGAAAAATTGTTGTTTTTAAACATTTATATTTTTTTTAGTTAACACCTTTTTCCCCCATGTGCATATTGTGAAAATGGCCATTTTCACTGGGAAAAGCCTCCTGTTTACAAGTTCAAACTGCTCATGAAACTATGGAAAATGGCTTCATACTAATTCAAACTTGCACAAATTGTTGATCTGCGACCATTGCCTTTGTAACTGACATGCTCAGTCTTAAATTTCCCCTTTACCATGGCAAACGAGGGGACGATCTCAAATTTGCCCAAAAATAATCACTTTTTTGCCTCGATTTTTTCCATCAAAATTTTATTCAAAAAGTGCTGCAACTTCTCAAGGGATGTGAGATAGAGTCAATAAGGGCTTTTCAGGCGTTGGTTTAACGGTTACCTTATTGATCGGACCTGGGGTCATTTTAAGCCTCTCACAAGTCCAAATTTTCCCTTGGGCGATGAGGGGACTCCGCCCCCCCCTTCAAACCCCCCAAACAGAAGGGGGCACATCCCCCTTCTGGCAACCCCTGATGGTAATATTTGGATGGGGGGGACGGCGGCCGAAAAAAAAATGGTCACTTTTTTTATAACAACATTTCTCAAACAAAAGACAGGTGGTTTGGGGCCCTAAATAGGGGCATTTTTTTCACTTGGTTTGAGGCCTCAAAAAGGGGGGGCAAAAGAAAAAAAAAACAAAAAAGCCGTCGGAAACACGCTTATATAAGGGAAAAGGTTAAAGAAAAGGATATTTGACCCCATTGGTTTTTGAATTACAGCGGAATATTGTGATATTACTATGCGATATACAGATTTAGAAAAGTTATAACTTACTTTTGGACGTAGTTGTTTATTAATAAAGGGAGTCTACCTTGTACTGGGAAAGCTGTTCAAATCGTGTAAAATTACGTCCCTTTACTTAAGAAAGGTCATACTAGTGTCACAAGGATCATGACCTTTGAATGTGTTCGTTTGTTATCGAATTATGATCGATGTTTCAATCAAGAGTTTAATTGATTAATTAATTGTTGATACCTTAATGAATACGATTAATATCGTTTAATACAACCAATTATGTTTAATCAAATTTATTGATGGGTACCATTATTAATACATAAGAAATAGAATAATTTGTAAGCGTTAAAGCAATTAATATTTTTTTCTTTTAATGTCAAATAAGGTCATTTTAGTCAGATGAGATATTTCTTTTTCATTGGATAAATAAAATGCTACACAGCGGATCGATCACGCAATACACATAAATTGATTTTCGTTTGTGATTAATAAACTTTAAGATGTAATTAAAAATTTCGTTATGAGCCAAATTGAATAATATATCCTTTTTAGTAGAAAGGAAAATAATGATAAAAAATTCTATATTTTGTATTCCAGGAATGGCCGTATCAGGACGTAAACAAATAGACCTGCTAGGATCAGTAGTTTTTTTTTTTTTTTTTTTTTTTTTTTTTTTTTTTTTTTTTTTTTTTTTTTTTTTTTTTTTTTTTTTTTTTTTTTCTTTTTTTTTTTTTTTTTTTTTTTTTTTTTTTGTTTTTTTTTTTTTTTTTTTTTTTTTTTTTTTTTTTTTTTTTTTTTTTTTTTTTTTTTTTTTTTTTTTTTTTTTTTTTTTTTTTTTTTTTTTTTTTTTTTTTTTTTTTTTTTTTTTTTTTTTTTTTTTTTTTTTTTTTTTTTTTTTTTTTTTTTTTTTTTTTTTTTTTTTTTTTTTTTTTTTTTTTTTTTTTTTTTTTTTTTTTTTTTTTTTTTTTTTTTTTTTTTTTTTTTTTTTTGTTTTTTTTGGATCAGCAGGATCAGCAGAAGACTTTGATCACTGTTGTGAGCCATTCTTACCACAGGTCAATCATATAGAAGCTCACGTTTTGTGTCACTTGTCAAGAATACCTTTGTAAAAATTGCCACGATATTTACAGAAAAACCAAAGTCTCACGAAATCATCAAATTTTGCAGCGTTATGATTTTGATAAGATTCAAACTACAAGAAAATCAAACAATGAATGCACTGAAATGTGTCAAGTTCACGAAAAAGAAATAATCAAATTTTATTGTCCATCACACCATGCACTCGGATGCAGTGATTGCATAACTTTAGGACATAGAACATGTAAAGTTGATTACATACCTGAAAAGTGCGTAGGTGTCGCAGATGGGAAGGAATTCGATGACGTCATGCAGAAACTCGGCGAAAAATTAAAAGAAGCATCAGAAATCTTGAAGAAGGCTAAAGGCAAGGGAAGCAACATAAATTATTTCAATGAAGAAATCATCAAGGCGATCACTGAATTCCGAAAAGAAATAAATGACTGGTTAGATCTAATGCAAAAAGATGCTTTAAATAATGCCGAGGAAATAAGGGCCAACAACAACAAAATTATTCAGCATGTCCTAGATAAATGTGAAAATATGATTTCCAGTATTAAATGCTTGCAATCAAGTCTACATGCAAGCAAGGCAAATCATGAACAAGGTCAACTGTACATCGACATGAAGCGGGCAGAATCTACACTGAAATCAGATGAATTACATGAAGTAAAAGAAACATTAATGCATACCAATATGCGCTACTCATTTCAACGAAATGCTGAACTCGAAACATTGTTCTGTAAGAAAATGGTCTTCGGTGAGATTGTCGATCATTCTCGTCATGAATCTACAAAAATGACAAAAGCTGTTGATCGTCTGATTGGGAAAGAAAATATCAATGTTAAAACTTTATCAGATGAGCTGGATTGTAACATCACAGGATTTGCAGTTCTTAACACAAATAAACTTGTTTTAGCTGATCACTTCAACAAGAAGTTAAAATTGATATCTATAGAGAACAGATTTGTAGAAGAGAAAGTTCTAGACTCAGCGCCATTTGATATTGCTGTAATGTCTCAGGATCAGTTTGCAGTAACAATGCCGTATATCAAAGAAATATTGGTCATGACAACAGAAAACAATATATCATGTGCCCGCAGTATTAAAGTAGATAAGACATGCTATTGTATAGACTATAATCAGGATCGTCTTTATGTTGATTGTGTGTCTCCTTCTAGTGTGATTGTACTGAATACACAAGGTGATATCCTGAATAACATGCCTCTGAACTTTCTGTCACCTCGCTATGCCCCGTATATTGCTGTGAGAAAGGATTCCAAACTTCTGTATATCAGTGACTGTGGTAAAAACAGTGTAGTGAGTGTATCATTACAAGGGAAACTTACAGCTACATATAAACATACAGATCTTAGTAGACCACAAGGAATGTTGTTGTTAGATGATGGGTCATTACTTGTCTGCTCTTATTATAATGGAACAATTCATAAAGTCAACGGAGACTTGAAGCAAAGGAAGATAATGTATAAAGGTGAAGATGGAGACCTTCTTCAATCTATATGCCACAGTTCACGCTATGCTGAGATCTATGTTGGTTGCATTGGAGACCATTTGAAAGTTTTTAACACACAATGAACACTGTATTTATTTTTCATTGATTTGAAAACGGAAGAGTGCATAAAATTATGTGGTAATTGTTCTTTATTATAGAAAAGGTACAATTATAAAAGAACTTACAGGACTTTAAGACATTTATTCCATTATTACATTTAAACTTGTAAATTATGAATCATATCTTGAACAAACTTATTTCACATTGATTTCAATGCACTGTTATTTAAATGATTTTAGGTTAAACATATTTATGTAAGCATGTGCCTTAAAAAAATAATACATGTAGTAATAATAATAATAATAATAATAGTTGGCAAACGATGATATTTAAGCAAATTGTTAGCTCTACAAAATGATAATATTTTTTGTTAGAAAAGGTTTATTCCCTCGCTAAATGTATTGTTTATAATACGGATGAAAGCTTTTATAACCATGACTGCTATGTGGGGTAAGGTTATATTTTAAATATCTTAAACATGATCATATATCTTGTCAAATGGTTTGATAAGGGTATATTTTACAGCTACAGCACAATTCATTTATTTAAAAAAAAAGCCTGAACATTGTTTATATATTAACAGTATTCATGTATATAGATAAAATAAACGTTACGATTACAAGTGTGTAGTATTATGTAAAAAATATTTTATATTGTTGCAAGCATCACCGATTAGCTTTCTTTACAGACATATATCACTAAAAAGAACGAAATCAAAGTAGTTAGGTGTAAGTAGCCTATGTGCTGAACCAATGATCAGGGTATTAAAGATTTGTTTGTATAGTGTGATACAATATAGTAGTGCTTATATTTATATGCAAGATATGTATACATGTAAATATGACTGTAACAGGTATATTATTGTCTGAAAAAATACCACTTTAGTTAGCTGTTTCCCAATATACTTATGAGCTAAAGAAAATAAAATATGTAAAAAATGTGATTTTTTAAACGGGATTGTTGTATATTCCAAAACTAATAGCTCAATAAATTCAAAATTGTTGTTATTTCCTTAAGTCCGTAAAACTTCCGTGTTACTTTATGAATTTAACCCTTTCACTACCATAGGGACGGCTTAAGCCGTCCCTGTTATTTTCGGCGTATTTGCCATATGGACGGCTTTAGCCGTTTGTATAATAATAATAGTAACAATTATAAATTAATAATAATAATAATAATAATAAATATAAAGAAAATTATACCATAGACAATAATTATTATTAAACTAACAGATTTGGAAACATATATAATTATTATAATACTAATAACAGATAATAATTATATTTATTAATAATATAGTAATTTCTTAGAAAATCCTCTGGCAAATAGGTGAACAATAAAACAATAACCCTTTGGCAGCGAAAGGGTTAAAAGTAATATTCAACGAAAACTAAGAAATCTAACACTTTTAGGTAAAAGGGCAATATCTATCAATTGGTATATATACGTTATCGTTAGTTCTTAGATAATATTTTATTGTGTCATAGTTTGGGGACCTTTCTGTTGAAAATGTGTCCGAGTCAAATCGTATACATATTCATGCACTGCGTTCATTGGAGTGCAGCTATTAGTAACCAGGACTCCAGAGCATGCCCACTGATTGGCTCATTTTGCTAGGGTTTACTTATTTTGAAGAAAGCGACAAAAAATTTCATATTTAGATGCTGGTTCATTGGTTACTTTATTCTGGGGTTTCATATTGTGACAGCAGGGAACGTGTGTTTTATGTTTAACTATGATATAAAAGAGAAAGAACAAATCAGATAGCATCGTGTTTCGATACTTTTTCTTTTACTTATTACATAAGAGGTTGTTTTGTACAAAACAAGCATGTAAACATATTCATTTTTCCAATTTATAAATGTTTTACGTGTGTAAAAATGAAGGAGAAGAACTGATATATTATGCAAAATCACACTGGATCCATTAGAATAACATAAACAAAACATAATCAAATAAATCATACATGGTAAGAGGGAAAATTGAATTTACATGTATGTTCAAATATATAATATCCGGTTGCAATTATAAAAGCCGCTGGTTATTTGAAAGAATCGGCTTCCCTGGATAACTTTCAAGTAATAATTATGAATATAATTATTATGAATTTCTCCGCAATTTACCGACTATCTATCTGGATGTCTAATTAATGCCCTTACAAGTATTGTAAAAATCATACTAATAACCATCAGGCATCAGGAGCACCGCGCTATTAGGACCGTTACCCTGTTGAAACCCAATGAGATCATCCTTTGACACCAGTAAAGAGCCAGGCCAGCCTGCTAATCCATACTGTTTGTAAACTAACATTATATTTTTATCATAGAATTTGAAAAAAATTATCACTACATGGAAGAAAAAATAGTCCAATTCAGAAACTGAACAGTTTAAAAGTCACGTGGTGAATACAAAGTCATTCAGTGTTTTTGCAATAACATAAGATTAATCGTTATTGATTGGGTCATTAATTGATTTGACTAATTGATTGGTAAGTGTATATTCAGGCTCACAGACATGTACATAATATTCTGATCAGATATATTTACACACAATTTTTATTTTCATGTCATAAATATTATAAGTAATAAATAGGACATTTTCTAATCATGTCTAGTACAATATGTAGTTGATTTTAACAATTCCTATTGTGAATTGTTTAAGTATAAGTTTCGTTCCAAATTATACAAATGTAAAATTAATGATCATATTGAATTGAAAAGTCGCATCCTTGAAATATGTCATGATGTGCTACCGTCATTTAACGCATCCACTAGTTTGCTCTTGAGATTTAAATTTCCAAGATTTAAAATGTCGTCAGGTATTTTAATTTGATATATAAAATCCTCTGTGGTATACATCAACACATCTGTTTTCTAGCTCTGTCAAAACACTGCTTTTGTTATTTCATAAATCACATTCTTTCTTTTTTTCTCTTTTTTCATCTTAATTAGTAACAGGAAAAATCAAAACCATTGGTTTCATTATCACGTGACGTGATTCCGTGACGATTATTCAAGTCTTTTCCTGTAACAACAGGTCTTGGTAAACGAACAGGTTGGACTTGGGAGGTTTCATTTGAAAATGATTGCTTTCTCCAAATCCTTTGCTGGAAACTAGGACCTTGGCTTTTGTTTCTCGTAACCTGTGATTGTTGTCACATGTGGCACTTGTTTTTGGCTTTGCTGTTAATAATAATATAACAAAAATGTTTAGCAATTGAAATTGATATAGGAATCATGGAATAAACTCAATTTTCATATCATATTCTTGTTCTTATTGCTCCCGAGGGACAGATTTTCGAAACATATCATTAACTTATGAAACTTATTGGTGCAATCACTTTTCATGAAATCTCAAAAATCAACAATACTATCGTCAGAATAACAAAAGAACAAATCTATGTTTTTTTTATGGTTTTGATTACTAATTTTATTCCAAGCTATTGATGTAGTGGAAGTGACGGGATATAGAAGGGATATAGAATACTAGCCGACCAATCAAAAATAAAGTTACATAAAATAATCATCATGTGTAAATCAAATTATTACAGTCAGCATACATTCTTTCTGACAAATAAAAAAGGCATATTCTTAGCATTTTAATGATTATTTACAAGTTTAAGAAAGAACATAAAAATGCTGGAAACAGGCAAACAAGTCATGTGTTTTCCGTTCGCTTGTTAAGGGTTTGTGTGCGCGACAAAAGGAAATTGGACAGTTTACCAAATGACAAATTTTAGTTTGGTTAAATATTAAGACAGTAATTGTATGAAGCATCAACGAGTATCGAAGTCCATGGGCCTGACTTATGAGATATAATCAAAGTGGGCACATATTCCATTTGTATTTCAACTATTGATAAAACAATCAATAGAAATGTGTCACTTGAAATTTCTTTTAATATGCTGTTGACAAAATGTTTATGTTGTTCAAGGTGATTTAGAATGACCATTTATCTGATGACATATAATAAAAATATGTTTGTTCGAGTACATTTTATTATATATATCTGCTATATAAATAAATATATGTAATATAGGATCATGTATGTCACACTTACCAATAACTTAAGTACATGTATAACTCTTTCATGGTTTGTTGTTATGTCCAATACTAAACACTATTTATATAATTATTCATTGTAGTACAGACGTTCAATTTTACACCAATTCACTTAAATCAAATCATCAAAAGTGAATAGAAAATGGGAAATTTTACCGACATTTTAGCAACATTTTACCGAAATAAGAAGTATAGAGAAATATTCAAGAAATACATACCTCTTAAACGAGAACTTTTATATTTACAAATTCGTGACACCCAAAATAAAATGGTTGCAGTACATTACACTTCCAGTTGATAAAGATGATATAACAAATATCACACTTTTGTTGTATTCGTCATCAGAACATTGGGTTTCCATGGTGATTTATGTCGTTTAATTTGTTCTTTGTATGCAAATATAAACAAACAAAAAACCATGAAAAATTTACGAGGAATATGCCTTTGAAATTAATATCTTTATTTATTTTACAGTTTAGTCATATCTCTTCTTTGAACAAATTTTTCTTTTCCAACGCTTATAACGCATTTAAACGTTCTAAGCAACGTAAATATGATAAGATATATTTACATATATATATAGTTACAATATCTATGTAATTAAGCGTTAAAAATGTTGATAGCAAAGAACATAAAAATAATCGTCATAAGTCGTCATTTTGAAAATAAATTAAAGTAATGTTACAGTTACTGTGTAAAAATTGAATGTTTAGCTAATCATTTGGGTTTATCTTGATATTTATGTAAATCTTAAATAAACTATGTTCACTTACCCAACAGGTGTTAGTTTCTGTCAAAATGCGAAATAAAAATATTAATAAAAATTACATAAGCAATTTAAATCCGGCGGTGATCTATAATTAAGTCCATGTATCCAACCAAAGTTAATTCAAATTAGCAATATAAGTTTCATACTAATTTTCATATTCAATTTAAAGCATATTGTTCTAATAATTAACCGT